ACACATTTTACTTGTATTCTCCCCCAAAAATCATGTAAAAACCAAAAACAAGGGGGTATGAACTCACCTTTGCTTTGATGTTTCGGTTTTGAAGAAGAAGTGGAAGAAGTTGATGAGATTTTTGGCTCAAAGAAGCTCCTAAAGTAAATTTCGAGCTTAAGAAGTTTCCAAGAGTGTGATCATGGAATAAAGCTATGTAAGAAGGAGTTTTTCATGTTAAAATGAAATGAGATGTTTGTGTTTGATAATAACTTACCAAAGATTGGAAATACTTGATGAAGATCCTTAGAACTCAAGCAAAATTTCGAGATATTGGAGGAAGGAGGATGATCTTGGAGAGTGTTTGGAGAGGATTTGAAAGAGTGTGTGTGTGTGTGTTTTGCCTCTCGGCCGTGAGTAGAAGAAGAGAGGAAAGAGAAGAGTGTGCATGGATATTTGGGACTTGTCTAGATGTATGTGATGCATTAAGCTTGGTTATCCTTTAAACAAAAGTGATGTGTCATGGTTTGGATTAATTAGTCATTTCTCCTTTTTTTTACTCATGGGCCGAGAATTAAATTAAGAAGGAGAAGATTAATTATTTTGGCCCAATCTTGATCCTTACTCAAAATCATGAGGCCCATAGAGAAGTTTTCGGCCCATTGGGCCTTTAGGGTAGTTCACGGTCCAAAATGGCATAAAAGAATGGATTTATGGCTTACTAGGGTTAATTGGATTAGTTATGGCCCAATAAGGCCCATTAAGGTTTGAATGAATCATTCTAGGCCCAAATGGTCCAAAATGTTATAGATTTGTGAATTAGGTCCATTTAGAATCCAAATAGGGTTTCCAAGCCCAAAATAGTTGAATTGAATGCTTATTGGCCCATTAGGCTCAATAAGGAAATCCTAATCCAATATGGACTTAAACCGGGATTCTTAGGGTTTTCAGACTCTTTGTTGAACGTGAGAGGTGAATTTAAATGAGCACTGGGTGATATTAATTAGAGTATATGTTTTACAATGGTTGAATGATTACACAAGAATAGAATTTCCTAGCTAAAATGCTAGTTGTGACAGTCTCCACCTAGATTACTTCTGCCACCTTCATCCCCACACAAACACTCTTTCCAAAAACGATTATATTACACATATCTATTACACATTTCAACATCTCAATGCATCTTATTCAAAGAAACAACACAAAACCATCAAATTTGATCCTTCATGTTCGTTCACCATCAAACCCATTTTGAAAATCAAAGTAAAAACATCAAGAACACTTGGAAATATCAAAACCCTAAACCGTCAGTTACCCTAATGACCGCTTCTGAAAATGCTAAAGCCCCTTATCTTTGATCTCAAAATCAAACCATAAACCTCTCTTACCCGATTAATTGCTTCTGAAGCCCCTAGGGCTCTCTGTCGACAAGCAGGGTAATAATGGTCGGAGAACAAAAGCCTCTTGCCACAATCGAGATCCCCAAGGTGATTTGCGTTCAATCCCAAGGCCTCTGAGAATAACCGGAAAAGTATGCCTCCTAATTTCATTACTTGATTTGAGTACTCGATTTGAATGTGTAACATCCCAAAATTCAAGACTAAAAATTTCATTTTTAATTGAAAGATTTATAAAACAGATTACTGAAAATGCCACCGATGTTATCTCATATCATGAAAACCAAAAGTCAAATATCTCTAAAAAATATGTCATAGGAAAATAATGTTAGAGTACAAATTCTAAGAATCTCATGTGCGGAAAATCGAGTGTGTGATGCGCTGCAGTCATGCCGGCTCCTTTCCCTTCGAAGAAGAGGTACCTGAAACCAAAACTGTAAACCGTAAGCACGAAGCTTAGTGAGTTCCCCCATCATACCACATACCATACAATAACATACTGTCAGGCATATCTGGGTGCCCGACCTGCCCCTTCGGTCTCTTTCAACCGGTAACTGCCTAGCATATCTGGGTACTGGCCTACCCCTTCGGTCTCTTTCAACCGGATACTGCCTAGCATATCTGGGTGCTGGCCTACCCATTCAGTCTCTTTCAACCGAATACGGGGACTATTTCACCCCATACTACTACCACATAATACCCTACATATACATATATCATATACTGCCTGGAATATCTGGGTGCAGGCCTACCCCTTCGGTCTCTTTCAACCAGATATCCGAGGACTATTTCACCCCCCCTACCACTACCGTATAATCATATAGCATAATAACACATAAAGCATAACAGATAGTGGCATACCAGACAATTATCACAAAGACAATCATCTCAACAATAATCACCTACTAGTGGGCCGACATTGGTGCCTTAGACCCACTTCTACTAGAAAGTAACTCACCTTAAATGTCGTGAAGTAACTGAACTGTCCTTGGCTCTGCAATCAACTCCTCTCAAACTCATACACATAAAAATATCCTTTAATTACCCTTTCATACTCATAACCCCTTAAGGGTCAACTCTAGTCAAAGTCCAAGTCAGAGTCAACTTTCTGGTCAAAGTCAACGTTCTGGTCCAAGTCAACCTTCTAGGTTGACTCAACTCGACGAGTTGGTCCATCAACTCGCCAAGTTCCATAAATCATAAACCCTAAAATCGCGACCCAACTCACCGAGTTCCTCCCTATAATAGAGTCGGGACTTCTTCAATCAACTCGTCGAGTTTTGCCCTTTATAGACTCAAGGTGTTTCGACCCAACTCGTCGAGTTCTTCAGTCTGTTAAGCCATCTTAAGGGATTAAGTCCTTATCCCTCAGATCTAAGTTCCACACTTCCTCTACATACTGAAAATGTCCTCTTAAGGGTAAAGTTTCCACCTTTACCCATTAATACTCATCCTAAAGATATATAGCTCAAACCCTAACCCTTAAGGACCTAGATCTTGGTCCACAAGCCATCAATACTTCAAGATAGGGTGCACTAACTGAGATCTAGACCTTTGAGACTAAATGAACACGTAAAGTCTCCACCTTTCTCTCCATGCATGGCCTTTTGGAGCTTAAAAGGCCAAAATGACATCCTATAGCTTGCATGGGGCTTTAATGGCCATAAAGTTTGCATATTTATGCCATGAAAGCCCTCCATGGTTCTAGATCTGATGACATACTAACTTGGGACGTCCATTTCCCAAAGATCATGCTTCTTGAACCAAAAGTCCCATAAAAGTGAAGATGAAGAGATCTAAGCATATAATAGACAAGATATGAACTTTATACCTTTGATGAACAAGAAATGAAGCTAGACTTTTGGATCTACTCCTCTCCAACACTTCCTTGCTCCTTCTTCAAGTATCTTCTTCTTTAAAACCACAATAATGCACCAAGAATGGCTCAAAACTCTCAAAAGTGTATTAGGGTTTCATGGCTAGGGTTTCGGATGATGGAGGCTGTAAATGAGGCCAGCCTTTGGAGGTTAAGGTTTTTTAAATAAGGTGCTAAACCCTGAAAATTAGGGTTTATTCAGGCAGCCCTACTCGTCGAGTTGAGTCCCTCAACTCGTCGAGTAGACTTTAAGTTCCGCGTCCAATTTTCGTTCCCACTCGACGAGTTTGGGGCCTCCAACTCGTCGAGTTCCTGTTCAAAATGAATAAATTGATTTAAAATACATACCAGGAACCGGGCGTTACAGAATGTCTCTGCGAACCTCCAACCATATCATAGGGATTCCATGATTCACCACTTGAAAAATTACTAGGTTTATCGAGCCTTCACAGATCATCTCCACCATGGATGCTCTATGGGTTGATTGCAACGATTGAGGTTTTGTGGGATGTTTCCGGTGATTGGAAGACGATGGGAGGGATTTGGCAGATTCTAGCATCTACAAGGCCCTTCACATCAGTTTTTGTTTGGTCGAAAACTTTGAGCTTCTATGGTCGATCTAGCTTGAGACTACCGAAGTAATGGTGGCAACCATTTTTATGAAGAAGATCTTGTATATCTATTTGTGTGTGTGTGTGTGAGTGAGAGAGAGAGAGAGAGAGGTTGTGGGGTTTATTTTATTTTCTATTTCTTTATAATTATTTAAATACTAAAACAAATAAAAAAATATAAAAAGAAATAATAAGGGCAAAATAGTCCTTTCAACTTTTTAGAACCAAAACCACAGAAAATTCTTGATTTTGGACTATCCATGCAAGTTGGAAATTTTTGGGATCCTATCCAAAGTTTTTTGAATACTACAATGACCAATTTACAGTTTTGTCTATATAATTATACATATTTTATTAATGGTTCAAATAAAAAAGAAACATTCACTTCAATATATATTATTGTAAATTATGTAATTAAGAAAAAATAATTTTGCTGTAGAAGAATATTTGTATGACAGAAAAAAGTCAACGTATACATTGTATGTTAAAAAGACCCGACCCGCTGACTTCGTATGATTGGACATTGATCCATGTTTGACGGCAGCCAAACAAGACCCTCACTTCTCCGTTCTCCCCCAATCCAATTCCAATACCAATACCCCACCATCGCACGTGACTTTGACCATCCTTCCAACGAAAAGATTCCGATTACGAACCCTAATCCCTCTTCCGATCTACACTTCTTACTTCCTTTGATCCATCGATTTCTGTTCAAATCAATCAACTAACTTCTACCAATCAGGTTAGCTTACTCTCTTCTCTTTAGCCAGCGTTTATTTCTCTTCCGGTGATCCATTTTTTGTCCAGTTCGAGTTTCTCTGTTGGTTACGAGGTTTATTGCTTTACTTGTTTGATTCAATTATTTTTCTTTCGAGCTTCGTATTCTAGTGAGTCGATGTTTGATTAGATTCGATTTTTGATATAATGAAGTAACATGAAGCTCTGTTCGAGTAAATTCTCATTTAGGGTTTTTTCCTTCCGTTTTTGTTTCTTACAGGAATCGATAACTCGGCTTTGTAGTTGCAATTCAGTGGAATTTGGGGGTTTTGTATTGATGTGGAGATCATCGTGTTTCTTTCATATGGTTGAAGATGTTTTGATGATTCTAAGACACTGAATAGTGATTGAACAACGAAAATGCCTGCAGTTCGGTGTTTTTCCAGAATCGATACTTTCGAGATCAAAGTTGAGATCGGAAAGAGACTCGGTGCACAAAAAGCTGAGAAGTACTTCAATCTACTCACCAGGTATTTGAGTCAAAAGCTCCGAAAACCAGAATTTGATAAGCATTGTGTAGCTTTAATAGGTCGAGAGAATCTTCATCTTCACAACGAACTCATCATTTCCATCATAAAAAACGCTTCTTTTTCCAATACACCCCCTCAAAAACATATCAAATCCAACACTCCTCTGACTCTAAAACTCCCCAATGGGTCCCACCCAAGAACAAGCCTTCAATCCCTCTGTGCATTTCCTCAGTCCCCTAAAAAAGGAAGAACCCCAAATCTTCGTGAAAGAAAATTCAAAGATCGATCACTCCATGAAAACACACGTACAGATTTCCAAACAATAAAACTCCAACAGCAACAACAACAACAACAACAACAACAACAACAACAAAGTGTTTCTTTAAGCAGCAAACCTCCTCCTAATAATTCTGATGAAGATGGTGAAGAAGTTTATAGTAGAAGCCCAGTTAGGGCTCCATTTGGCATAAATCTACACTCAAAAGAATCCCGAAAAGTACTCAATACTTATACTCATTCAGATTCTGCATACCACACTGAAACTTGCCATTACAGTGGTCAGTTGCCAGCTTCAAATTCTTTAAAGAACAGGTTGAAACACAATCTGAAAACAGAGGGATTTGGATATTTCCATGGATTGTGTTGACTTATTGAATAATGGGTTAGATTCTTTTTTAAAAAGGGTTATAAATTTGACCCGTTTGAGATCTTCTTCAGAAAGTATATCCATGTTGGATTTTCGGGTAGCAACAGAGCTCAATCCAAACATTCTTGGAGATGTTTCACATACAGTACACGAGAATTGTTAACAATTGATAAATGTTTTGGGTGTAGGCTGATTAGATTGTATATATACTATGATTTTGACACTATTAATGAAATGATATATATGTTTTTTTAAGCAATCTTTCATATGTGAGATGATGTTGAATTGTTGATTAATTTTTTATTAGAAATGGATGAAAGTTATCTAATTGATGTGATTGTAAGATAGTAAGTGGGTGATTAGATTCATTGAGACATATAACTGAAAGATGATAAAGATAGTTAATGACATTTGTTTTTGTTTCGTCAATAGGTATATATATTGAATGTCTATATTAATTTTTAATTGTTAATGTAACAATTTAATCCTTCAATAGGAATGACAAAGATGCAGTTGGAAAAGTTATTATTTATTCTAAAGAATCTTGGGTCAAGAAGAAACAAAAATAAACGTGTATAAGCCCAAAAAGCATTAAACATCAATAGCCCAATATGGTACATATTTTGGGCCATTTCCAAATGAAAAGTGCATCCACAAAATCCATGTGAGAATTTTCGACTTTATTTGCGCTGATATTTAATTAATGGAAAATAAGGAAAATACGAGAATGTAGAAATTGATATAAATCATTGGAAAAGAATATTGCTCAAGAAAATCACCCACATTGAGAGAATGTAATAATAATCTCATATGAAGGAATTAATTATGTTGCTATTGGAACTAGATTTTCTTTACACACTTAAGATAACAAATGTTTAAGTCTTAATTATGAGTGTTTATAGGGTTGATCCGTATCCATGGATTGATCGATTTGTGTATATGCAACCTTACTTTTTTTGGAAACGCCAAATATGATATTAATAGGTCAATGTTTAACAAGAAGCTAAAAGTGACGGAAGAAAAGTACAAACATATAAAGATGAAAAACATAAATTATAGAAGATTGTTAAAATGTTCAAATGGCGGGCAACTTCATTTCGCCCGATTACTACAACCCATGTGGCTCCTATGCTTAACACATAAGTACTGCTTTGGTGGGTGATCGTCGCCAGTTGTTAAAAACCTCCTCGTTTCTAGCCATCCAAACACTCCGGATGATACAAAAGAAAATCGAGACGAGGATAGTCTTTTTCCTAGGGCAGTTGCCCCATGAGGCAGCAAAGTCAATGAACTTGAGTACGTTGGAGAATTGTATCTGCTGTAGACCGTACCATTTGAAGATCTAATCATGAACCTTTTGAGTGAACTCGCAACTTGCCAAGAGATGGTCCGTTGTTTCCGGTTCCTTGCTGCATAGAGGGCATATAATATTGGTCGCCGTGATTCCTCTTGCAGTTAATGAAACTGCAACTTGGATTTTCCTTAACGAGGCCCACCAAACGAAACACCAAACTTTCAATAAAATGGATTTGGACCAATAGATCACTGGGCCTTTGTAAGCAATGGTGTTTGAGTCAATTAGACGCCTTATGGAATTGGCAGTGTATCTTTCATCCGGGTTTTTTAGTGCAACGAAATCCATATAGGGGTGAGGTAGAGATCTCCATATTGCCAATGGCTTAATAAAGTTGCACTAATTCCGCCAAAGCCTCGGCTTGCCTCGATTCCTGTTTCCAATTCCAAGAGAACCCGTTGGCAGATAACCTTTCCTCGATCAATCAACATTTGATAGTTTCCTTATCGTAAAGGATACATAATCGATATTGGAAAGGGGTGTTACTGCACCATGGGTATTTCCATAATAGAATGTTAACACTGAATCCTGGTATTAACCTAAAAATCTTGTTTTGATCAATTTTAAAGTTTTCAAGACTGCTTACTACCTTGTATATATATTGTACCAGACCCCCTTTGATGTTTTTCAAGCTATGTAGTCAACTAGTTTCCTTCTTAGATAGTAAATGCTTGTGATCTCTCCTTTCCCCATACCCCCTTTGATGTTTTTCAAGTAATGTATGTTGGATTAGTGTCTAAGTCCATAACTATTTTGGTATGTACTTGACCCGATTATGAGCATGGTCCTTTTGGGTTGCCTTCACCATAGCAACTTGTAGGATGAATTATGGAGAGATAGGATTCATTATGATTTATTAATATATTATGAGAATAATATATTAAAGGAGAAATCATATTTTTAATTAATATTGGTCAAGAATTAATTGAAAATTAATTTTATGGTCAAAAGAGATTAATTAAACTTAGGGGATTGGAATTGTAATTATAATATAATTGTATTTGGGCTATGGATCACCTTGGAATATAGGTTGGACGAATTCTATGGGAAGCCCATATGGAATTCTTCCAAGGGATGTTCTAAAAGGAGTCCATGGGCTGCTTAGGGCTTAAGCAGTCAGATTAGGGTTTCCTAGTTGAAAACCCTAATGGCCTAACTATATAAGGACCCCCTAAGGCCCCAAAAACGTGGTGAATGAATCCCTTAGGGTTTCTGGACGTTTTTGTGCCTCTCCTTCTCCTCCTTCTTCATCCTTATTGCTTATGGTGTTTGTGACTCCATTAGAGGTGCAACACTTGAGGCACTAAGCTTTCTGAAGCCAATTACAAGAAGGAATAGATTGTTATTGCTACATAACAATCAAAGGTAATATCTAAACCCTAATTTCGATTATAGTATATTAGATCTAGGGTTTATGAGCTTTGGATAACTTGCATGTATAATTAGATAAACCTAGATCCAAAAGTTTTAGGGTTTTGCATGTGCACCATAGAATTGATGTAGTGCTCATAACCCATCAGTGGTATCAGAGCCTAGGATGGTTTTCTAATGTATTTGATGCAAAAGTTATGTTTTTCAAAGCAGAATTTTTTTTTTCGTTTTTTTGCTTCTGCCTGATCACCACGAGGTGGTGAAAATCACCATGAGGTGGTGGTCCATCACGAGGTGGTAAAATCACCACGAGGTGGTGTCGGGGCAGATGGCAGAAAACTCGGGATTTTGACCTATTTTGAGCTTGGATAATTACAAAAATTGTTTTTGATTGATAAAATCCGAATTTTATTAATTTGTTATGATTATCATTGTCAAAATTAGAGATAATTGTCATTTAATTAGATAATTATTGCCTTATTTGATAAACCCTAATTATTTGAATTATTTGTTTTGAATTATCTAGTAAGAAATTGAACTAGGTCAAATTTAGATAATTACCAATTATTTGATTAATTTTAATTATTTGTAATTTGATCTAGATAGTTTTGAAAAGTTTCAAAACTTGCCCTCAAGTTTTGGAATTTAAATTTTTGATTAAAAGTTTAATTTTGAAATATTTAAATTCTAAACCCTAATGTTTTGAAATGTTTCAAAACTTGCCCTCAAGTTTTGGAATTAAAATTTTTTGATTAAAAGTTTAATTTTTGAAATTTTAAATTCTAAAACCCTAGTTTTGAAAAGTTCAAATTACACCCTTATGGTTTTATTAAGTTAATTAAAAGTATAATTAAAAGAGAGTTAATAAATCCATAATGATATGGTTTATATTTAATTAAATTAAAAGTGTAATTTATAAAATTAAACCACCTAGTATTTTAAAAGTGTAAAATACACCCTTATACTATATATAACATTAAAAGTATAATATTATATATGTATAACTTAAACTGCTAGTCTTACCGTTAGTAGGCCTCATTCACGAAGCCGATCTATAAGGGGGTATACGGTTATGGCCTATAAAATGGCCGTTTAATGGGTGTCCACTCTCACCCACTGCTTCCTTGATTGGTGGAGGGTCGTTAGCCGAATGGGTAGGATAGGGCAAACCCTTTCCATTAAAAGTATAATGAACTATAAAGTAACTAAATGTTTTATAAAATTCCCAAATCTTAGTTACTTTAGGCAAAAGTGAATTTGATGCAATTCCATGAAATTACACTTTGTACCCTTGCTAAGACGTTAGTGGGGCGTGTGTGGTTAACCGGCACACTAAATGGGTTCTAAGCAAAGGTAGCGAAGGGTGACTCGATGTTTGTCATAGTTCGGTGGAGCGTATGTGGTTAACCGACACATCGAATAGGTGACTGTAACATTAGGGGCACCATGTATATTTGCATGGTTATTCACACCCTGTTTTGTGATCCTCGACATCTCAGTCACAAATCGAGGGGCGTATCGAGATTTAAATATGCCATTGAAAAGTTCAATGAATCTCAAAAGATCTAGGAGTTTTCAATACATTTAAAACTTAATCTCTTTTTCGTTTTTCATGGTGGAAAATTAGTGAATCGTCATTCACTTACCTTCAAATGTTCTGCAATTTGGGTTACGACATCCCTCTCCCAAGTTGTAGAGTATTGTGTTGGGTCCTAGTCTTAATATCTCGTTTGGGTGTTTTATTAAGTACTCAATCAACTGACTTGGATTTTCTCCCGTTTTGTAGATGTCTGATTCTAACTATGGCCTTCCCAAATCCCTTGGAACAAGCTTTCCACATGAAGATGATATTCCATGATTCCATCGAGGAACCAGAAATCATGCTTCACTCCCTCCACCTCCTCCTATTGTTCTCCCTAACCCACAAGTTCAAAGGCTTGAAAAGTTCAAGCTCACTCAAGCCCTTTTGGCAAGTAAACATGAAGAAGGAAAGTCAGTGTGTGCACACGTATTAGAGATGAAGTCACACATTAATAGGTTAAGAATGTTAGGAGTCGTTGTCTGTGAGAAGCTGACTGTTGACTGGGTTCTTCAATCGCTTCCTAACTCATATAGTGAATTCGTAAGAGAGTACTATATGATAGACCACGACGTGACCCTCATCGATCTCACCTATTTGCTTGTTGCTACTGAATCAACAATGATTTGGCGCACTGGAGAAGCAAAGTTGATTGGTGGATCTGCCTTCCAAACCTTCATGGACATAGGCAATGGC